TTATACAGGATTTGAACGACCCAGGGTTGATCAATCACTATTTTACTATAAATGCAAGTCTTTCATTGGTGGAGAGGTTGCAATGACGTCATTAACCAACCCTGGGTTGTTCAAATCCTGTATAATCGAAAACGCTATATCTTACTATAAATGCAAGTCTTTCATTGGTGGAGAGGTTGCAATGACGTCATTAACCAACCCTGGGTCGTTCAAATCCTGTATAATCGAAAACGCTATATTATTCATATTCTGTATTGCGATATTGCCTTAAGGGTACGCCTAGCAATGCTGGCGGAGAGTTGCCATCCTGAAAGATCGTTGTTTGTCATCCGCGACTGAGCGAGTTAACCTAATCGGCGCGACTGACATCTACAGTTCAAGGAAATATTTTAAATCGTAAAGTATCGTCGTGCAACTTTTGTTTACAGTATAAATCTGCGCAGGGAACAGCTCATCTGTTATCAGACATCGTAATTTTCTTGGCGACATGACTGCGATAATTGGCGGTTGACAGGACATGCTCTTCCGAGTCAGAGCATTTCAAAATGTATCCGCTTCCACACTGTATGAACTATACGCGGTCCTAAGTAGATTAAACAATTAACACCCACTGTTTCCCTGACAGAACAGATTGCATTGTGCACATTGTCGTTATACTGTCACTGGATGCTCTAATTTTGTGTTGAGAATTAGGTGTTTCGAGAGCGAGCAAAATGTCTGAGACAGCGAAAATGACGTACACTTGCATAATTGATCTGGAAAAGAAGGCTAAGATTAATTTTGTGGGGAAGGAGCCGCGCAGTGTATATGCGAGACTTCCTGATATGAAACTGAAATCTGAAACAGCGAAGAAACAAGGGGATGATGAAACTGCCTACATTATGTTAAAGAGATGGTTGAACACAGTTCTCTGGCTAAAGAGAACTCCGGATTCGAAGGAAGGCAAATCAATCTATACTGCGAAAATAACTCTTGATCAGGTAAGATGTGACATGTTGAAGCGGTTAGATATTTACTCATTATGTAGGTAATAAGATACATAAATGTATGTTTACATTCTAGATAAATGAAGTGAAAAACATACTTGCAGACTTAACGCAAAAGCTAGAGATACGCTATGAGCGTAATTCCAAAAAACATTTAGATACAGTGGAAAAAATGGAAGTGGAGATGGATAAGGCAGATACAACAGAGACTTATGCATCAAGTACTGATATTGGCTTAAAATTACCAGAAACACCAACTGATGATCCTTTGTATGGTGATAGCGACAAATTTATATCATGCATTCAATTGTATAATTTAGTACAGAAAAGAGATAGCAAATATTTGATCATTGATATTAGGGAGAAGGTTTATTACGATAATTCCAGGATAATATCTGACAAGTGTATTAACATTCCGCAATCTGAAATTCAACCAGGGTAATTAAATTACATTTTATATCATTTTCTCTCTTTTGTATGTTATAATTTTATCATGTCTTAATACATACTGATTGATGTCTGAAATGTTTTTGTAATGGATTGATTTTCAGATTATTGGCCTTTCATTTTTTAAAATATTTACGTAAAGATAAGCATTCGACTGATTTGTTTAATCATCGATCGAGTCAGTATGTGGACATTGTGATTTTGCTGGATTGGCACACTACGCAAGAGTCTCTGACGGCCGCCAGTAGCTTAAATAAATTGAAGGATATTTTAGAGAACTGGGATCCTGGTACAAATTATAAAAAGATTAAAATTCTCAATGGAGGATATCAAGAATGGCTGATAAGATATCCGCCAATCACGACAAATTCCAATGTGAACATACCAGAGTTTAACAATGTCGAAAACGAAATTTTAGTTGATCAAAAAATTGATTATCCAGAACTGATAGATTCGGATGAGGAAGAGATTTTTGAGAAAGTGCAAAATACAAATTCGAAGAAATTGAATAACACGAGAACATTTAATAACATGGACGTCGAGATGGATCATGGCAATAACAAGTCAACAGCATCCAAGCATACTAGGTCGATTGATTATCCAGAACTGATGGATTCGGATGAGGAAGAGATTTTTGAGAAAGTGCAAAATACAAATTCGAAAAAATTGAATAACACGAGAACATTAAATAACATGGACGTCGAGATGGATCATGGTGATAACAAGTCAACAGCATCCAAGCATACTAGGTCGAACAGTAATGATATTATTTCTTCAGCCAAGAGCTTTACTAGTCACGTAACGATATCAATCGATGGCAAACGATCGTCTCGAAACGATATTACAAATACGCAACGATTTGAGAACTCAGACGTGTCAGTATCTCAGCATAAGATATCATCGAGTAAGATGCCGCAAAACGAGGTGAGCACAAAGCCGGTTATCGATCGCAGCAGTAAACCGCCGACTTTAAAAACGTCTGATCCACGATGTAAGGAAGTATTGAAGTTTATGAAAGAATTAAACGAACTAGCGAAATCGAAGACTAAGCTGGCTGATGAATTGTTCAATCAGGAATTTGAGCTTTATTCGCAGCGCGATGATAAATACAGTGCCAGCGATAAAAAGTATCTACGTGGGGAGATAAAATCTTTAAAAGTTAAATTGGAAGACATGGTACTTATTTATTTACTTAATAATCTGTTAGATTTATATATATATTAACTCTTGCAAAATGCGCAAAAATCATGAACTCTATAAGATAATCATAATAAGTTTTTATGGATTTTAAATTTTTTTCAATATTTACAGCACAAAATGTATCTCAAAGTGGAAAATGAATATAACACCTATTGTAAGGAAACAGACGCGATTAAATTTAATACCACTGACGATAACGAAAAGAAGAATTTTGAATTCAATCTTTCTATGTTGAAAAAGCAGCTCAAGGACATTGAAACCAAACGAAAAAAATTACACGAGTAAGTACAAATTTAATTATTAATATTACATGGAAATTATATTTTGATAATATAATAAAAAGAGCAAAAACATATGCAATAAAGTTAGACACAACGCGATTATAACATAACTGAGATTGATTGATTACCGTTTTGTTTTTATCGTGTGTGACACATTTTTATATTCTGTATAGTTATAAATTTCAAGTGTAAATTAAATATAATATTTTTTTATTAATATTTAATTTTTATTAATGTAAGAAAATTTTACGTATGCATGGGCGCGCGCGCGCGCGAGAGAGAGAATAAATATAACTTTTTTACATAATTAAAATTCAATATTTTTGTTTGGAATAATTCTCGAAATTTAAGAGTAATTCTTAATAATAATTTTTTTCAGCTGACTAGTTATTACAGGGCTTAGTTGAAACGGGAGATTGTTTAGTTACATTTTTGAAAAATTTCGGAAAAACAGATAGTTAGAATTTTTCTCGGCTGATTCATAGATAAAAGTGATATTGTGATATCTTCACTAACAAACGTTGGTCAGGAAGAACCCTAAATAAATAAAGTTTAAAAAGAAATTCAAAGCAAAAGACGGATAGTATTTTCTCCGCGCACGTTGCCATGTCTTATAATACTATATATGTTGTGTCAATAAATTATTAGTAAGTTGTTAAATAAGTAACACAAACAACGTTATTTGAACATTATACAGGTATATTTATAAGTGCCTGGATTTATATTTTTCATTCATTATTTTTTTTTTTGTTATTACTTTTTACTGCTCTCGTACCTTTTTAATTTATTAAAATCTAAAATTTTTGTTGTGTTAATTTTTAGTTCATTAAAATTTATTTTATTTAGAATGATGGAAGGAGATGAAAAGCTGGGTGTTAGTAGCTTGTTTAAATCTTCTTGGTCCAAATTAATTTTATTTAACAAATTAATTTTATTTAACAAATTTTTGCTTTAATTATATATTTTATTGTAGTAATTGTAGAGAATTCATGGAAAGAGAACACAAGGAAATAACGATGAAGCAAAATGATGGGGATGTTCACAAGGAGCCCTTAAAAACGGACGGTTCGTCGATTAACACCGGCTTGGAGCGCTCTTATTCAAGTCCAAACTTGCTGCAGGTACGAGAAAAGTTGTACGATACAATCTTATAATCAGTTCGTTCTTTTTTGTTTAACTATTTACAATAGCAATCGCATAATTACACACGAACATTTCTGCGTAATTCCATTAGTTGGGAGAACGTAAAGCACCTCAGATAGATAGAACTTCTAAGCCGCATATATCGCCTCGCAATCAGAATGGATCTATTGGGAACCAAAACATCAAAGTGTCTCCTCTTAGTTGGGGAAATCGGGAAGAACGAATGACTCCTATTCACGGCAGTGTTGTAAGTACTTATCCGGACAAGATTGTACGCGGGTGCTTCCCAGTAAAATTGCCAATATACGGCCTTAGAGACGCTATCGCAGCTTTCGCTTTCGCGGCATTTTGGAGGTGAATGACCGACTTTCAAAAGATCATTACAATCAAAACTGATCACGGTGTTGGGTTCTCAGTCTTCCATTTCATACTACGCTTGGCACAAGTCGTATAACATTGAGTTGCAAATGATATATTTTGATATTGACATGATAATGGCAGTAAAATTTTAAAATAGGTATATACAGTGCTTAACTATTAATAGAGCATTATTTCAAATTCTTGTCCCTAATTATATTAAAATTTATTTACGTGTAATTATAAAATTAATATAAATTTAATATTATTTTTAATGTTTAAAAAGTTCATTTTATTTTTCTTTGGTATATTTTAAATTTTCTTAGATATCCAAGTATTTTTATTATTACAAAAATTTTATTTGAAATATATTTTATTTCTCTTAACTCTTAAACATTATTTTAATATTAAAAAAAATTAAATAGATATTATGGTTCAATATAATATCTACTAGAAATAGTTATATAACATATAAAGCAGTTTTAAGAAAAATATTGCAACTACGAGTTTTCAGATTTAATATTTTGGTGGAGAAGCATTATATTTAAGCAATGTTAATACATAATATATAAAAAAATATTATATAATTACATGTATGAGAAAATTAACCATTATAAATTATTATATTAACAATAGATACCAATTGCTATTTCAAAATTGTAAATTTTTGCTTTTAAAATATTCTTCTATTCAAATACCGCATGTTGTGATATTTATAATATGTAATGACAAATATTTGCAATATTTTTCCAGAAATTCTGTATGTGTGTGTATGTATGTGTGTGTGTAATTCTGTCAAATTCTGTCAAATTTATTAAAACCTGGATACAAAATTATAATTATGTAAAGTATTTGTCCGTATGTGATATTTAACAGATAATAATTACACAGCTTCGACATAGCATAAACATTGATAGTAGTGTCGTGTGTCGGTCGGCTGCCACGTGTCTAATCAGTTTTACATAAAGTCACGAGGAAGCATTGAAATTCCATGATTCGTGGGACACGCGCTTTGCAGTCACGTGTAATAACACATTGAATATGTGTACGCACAGTGTAACTCAACACAGCGGGGTTTCTCAATCCAATCCGCAGACAAACTTCCAACGATTGTTATTTACGACGTGCGCACACCAGTGTCCGAGCAACATTTCTCGCGATTACTCATCGGGAGTGTTTCCTTCTAAAAGTATTCGCGATACCTTTCTTTATGTTCTAGAAAGAGATTAACTTAAAGTTAATTACAATGGAAAATCGATTTTATTTAAGAAAACTCGTCAGATAGTATATTAATAAAATATCCGCGTGAGATTCAATCAATCGTTAACTTATTACAACGATATAATGTTCAGTTGTAATTTGACGCACGATAATATAATCAAGCACGCGTATGGATATAATGCTTATTATTTGGTGATAAAGTAATTTCTTTTTGGTGTACTGAAAAATTCTAGACAATGGTAAACCTTCAAAGAAAGTTTACTCCACTGCAACTGTTCAATTATTTTAAGAAGGTAATTAATAATGAAAACATGAAATTTGTTTTTACATTAATATTTTAATAACTCATCTGACTGGAAATTAAACAATTCGATATGACTTTTTGTATAATTTGAGCATATTTCTTTTTTTTTTAAATAATGTAATTGGTTTTCTTATTTTTTATGCTACATTTGTTTATCAGATAAAACTAACAACGCGTAATATACGAGTTTTAAACTCATAAAAATTCACAATTCTGCGCGTAAGTGTATTAAATGCACTGTTAAATTTATTAAATAATACTTAATAATCTATTAAATAATGAAAAGTAAATGTCATCTGTGTGTTAAAAAGACAATTTAACAATTAGCCTTCATAAACACTTTGAAATAAGTGCATTATAAGATTTGATTGACCATGGCGTGTTGATGTAAATAGATCGATAAACCCCTTTGCTTAATTACGTTAAAGTAGAAAGTAGATCACGCAGTTCTAAAACTGCGGATTTCACTCTTTGAGAAAGGGACAGTCGTTTGCGCGCAGTTATTTTTTCTGTTCTGCTGAAAATGTTATGAGAGTAAATTTTGACGAAACAGTTATGAATATTTGTACGAACAGTTTGTCGAACTTTGTTGAAAGGTTTTAATTCAGATATGTCTGGAGCGGATATCTAATATTAAAATGGAGTACTATGCATAAGAGACGTGCGGTAAAATTGAAACGTATCTTCCAACGAAGACTTCTGATTAAAATACTATCGTTTGTCGTAGCGCAGAGGGTGTGTGTATGTGTGTATGACACGCTACAATCGTATTAAATAATGTGTCTTCCAGTGTAAAGATAGCCCCCTTGTACTTGCAGCATCCGGGCATAACCGGCCTGAAGAATTTGGGCAATTCTTGTTACATGAATAGCATTATTCAGTGCTTGAGCAACACGACAAATTTAGCGAAATACTTCACCGATAACTCGTACGCCGATGATCTCAATACGAGTAACGATAATATGACACAAGGCCAAGTCGTGGAAGAAGTGGCTCAAGTAATTAAAGCGTTATGGAGAGGCCAGTACAAAAGCATATCCCCTCACGACCTAAAGGTACCTTTAATCAATTGCGTTTTTATTTCGCCCATTTTTTTTGTGTGTTCAAAGAGTGCAGCTTATTTGCTTTTCCTAGTGTTTTTATTTATAATTCGCAATAAATAGATAGGGAGCCAAAGCAAGGCGTTGATAGCTTATTTTTCTTCTAAGTCTTATTAATGATCCAGATTTAATTACAAGTAAACGTAAATGTTATTATCTTTATCCTTTTTATTTATATTTGAACGAATTAAATATTTGTTTTCCATATTGATTTTTCGTATATTCTGAATTTTCTCCATTCTCATTAATTATTATGATCGCCAGGTTGCAGTAGGACAATACAAATTGCAGTTTGTAGGTTACGAGCAACAAGATTCTCACGAATTTCTCACATTCCTCTTAGACTGGATGCATAATGATCTTAAGAAAGTAAGAATTTGTTATGAGTAATTTGGAGAAGATTAATTACGAAAATATCAGAGCTATGTTTTGCTTACAGGAGGCAAAGATGCCGTTCGAAATGACCAACGCGGAAAAAGAATGGGACAAAGCAATGAATTCTCAACGATCCATAATATCTGACTTGTTTTTCGGTCAACTGAGATCCACCATCACATGTTCATTTTGCAAACAAGCGAGCACTACATATGAGACATTTAACAGCTTAACGATGTCTCTTTCTCAATCCAATCGATGTACTTTAAATGTGAGTATTTTGTAAAGTACAATTACACGATTTGATTTCAATTACTCAATTTATATTTTTTTTGTTTTACATTTAAATTGTTTGCTAAGATGAAAGGATATGTTGTGTTTTATGTAATTATTGGTCTCTTATAAAAATGTTTTGCTTTGTTGTTTTAGGACTGCATGGACAAATTTGTGACAGGGCAGAAGGTAAGCGGATGGAAATGTCCCAAGTGCCAGACACCACGCGACGCGATGAAAAAGTTCGACTTCGTCAAGCTCGCGCCCATCGTCGTGATTCATTTGAATCGTTTCGCCGAAAGTGGCGGATGGTTAGAGAAGCGCAACACCGCCGTTGATTTTCCCTTCACGGGATTCAATTTGAAGCCCTACCTCGTCGCGGAGACTAAGAAGGCGAATATGACGAATAATATTCGCAATTACAATTATACTCTTTACGCAATGTCCAATCACTTTGGAACGATGGATGGCGGTCACTACACGGCATTTTGTAAAAACGCTACTCAAAATAAGTACGTATAAAATGTACATGGCAAATCCGTTTTTATTACAAATAAAACTGAATCTAGCATCAATTTTTTATTTTCTTATATTTATATCTTTTTTTTTTTGTATTGCAAGTATCATTTTTTTGGAGTAATCTTTTATTAATGTATCTTTCGATAAAGATTTTCTAATTAATAGTAATTATCATACATATTTTTACAGATGGTACAAGTATGACGATCAGACTGTCACGGAAGTGTCGCCGAGCCTAGTGAAATCTCAAAATGCGAGTGCCTATTTATTATTCTATACATCGTTTCCGAATACGATAATGTAGTATGAGGACGCACCCACGAAAACGTGATCAAGATTCGGTCATCATGAAAGTCTTCAGGGTGATATTACTTAAAAAAAGAAAAACGGATTATACAGGAATGTAATTCGACGCTCTGTAGATATTAAACCATTATATTTTATATGATAAATCCTATACGCGGACGAAACGTATAGGGGCTGTGACGGTATTGAAAGCTTTATCAGTGCTGGCAAGGATGGTGTAAATACATAGGATGATGGCGATTTTCCTGTATTTCCATTACAGTTTGTCGCCATAGAGAAAAAGTAAAATATAGTTGTGTTCGAGAATATTTGATTACATGTATAGCAGCTTTGTATAATTATATTGATATATCTAGGCTTGTTTTAGGCAGATGTATAATATTCTGTTTATGAACAATATTATGTTTAACAGCGTTATGTTCTGTATAACAGTTATATGTTATTTTATAACTTCGTATTGGTTATAATTCAAATATTGTTTTCTTTTTATTTGCTTAGAATGCTGAAATAAAGCGAAAGGGGCCATAGTTCTTCGTCTTATTAGTATCGAGCGATTAAGGTAAACTTTTCGCCGCAAAAGAATTTATTGAAATTGGAAATTCATCGTGTTTATAATACCATAGTTTGCACAAATTGTCTTGAAAGCCATCAAAATTAGTATTGATTGATATAAATTCTATATACAGCGCATACGTCGAATACAATTTTGATCGATTAGCAACCTTTTTTGCTACATTCAATATTATTGTGACGTGATTGTTTTGTACTTGAAAAGCGCTTTATTGGAGAATTAAGCTTCTTAAAAATAATCGAGTAGGATTCTGTTATGCAAGCCATTGCATTACTCATCAATAATTGGCTTTGGCAGCTGAAAGAAATCATGGTTTACGTTAATCTTACGAGTATATTTGGAATGTTATTCCAATGAAGAAATATACATTTGGCAGCAAGATCCTTGAGCATTTTGTATATATATTTGGTATTGCCGGAGAATTTGAAAGCAACTTGTACTTGCGAAAGCTAAATCGAGAAACTTTTGTGCGAAACTTCCTAGTTCGTCACAAATTTCACATTATTGCCATATATGATTATACTTTATCCACGGAATGCATTTAAGGTGAACATGCTTGAATTGTACATTTAAGATGAAATGATGTTGACAAGCAATGTTAATAATATCATCACAACTTATGTGCAATGTACCTTTTTCTATTTTCTACGCTATCTTTCTACGCTTTGATGCTAATATTTTCAAAAATATGATTAATTATCGAAAGATATCAGTATATATTGATATTTTATCTTACTACTTAAAACCTTTTAATGCTAATTTATATTGAACGCAGTTCCAAAAATAATATTTTATTTTTCTAATTAAAAACTAAAGGTACTTGTCAAATTTTATGTATGCATTTGAAAATTGCGTTTTATTAAAAAATTTGATAAATATATTGAACTTAAAAACAACTTAACAATATAAATTAGCTCCTAATCTCATATTTAGAAATGAATAAAAACAAATATTTATTTTAATTATGGTACAAAATAAAACTTATACTATTTACCATTTTGATGAAATTTACTGTAATAAATTTATTTTTTACAACGCATAGACGCGTTTGCATATTCGTGCCAAGGCAGGGGCGACGTATCGGTCGTTACAATTAGTATCAGGGGTAGATCCCTTACGAAACTGCCGAACTTCTGCGCGTCATTAATAACTCTCGCACAATCTGTAGCTGTAGTACACGTCCGCGCAATCCGAGCGAGCCTTAATCGGAAACTTCTTGCCGTTTTTCTCAGGCCGTGCACCGCCACTCGTTAAGACAATTTATATTCTTTTATCCTTTAATGCGACTCGGTACCCTCTCGCCA